CCACTTCCACTGCACTGCTCGCTGTCTCAAAAGAATAGGAAAGCTCTTCTCTCTTCCTTGGGAATGGGTTTGGAGGGAGGGTGGAGGATGTAATGATGGAGAGGCCTTGCAGGTACTTTGGTGGAAGAGGGTGTGTATGAAGGAAATGGGTCGCCCAGAGCACAGGGGAAATTGACATGAGCACATTTCAGAACCACTGGTTTAACCGGCTAACATTCTTTCCAAAATGATGGACAAGTCTTTAAGAGTAGACAGAGGGCCTCAGGGAGGAGAAACATTGCTGAGGAAGAGGCATCTCCCTTCACCCTCCTCCAGAGGCTGATGCTAGAGAGCAGGCGGCAAGGCCTCACTGAGCACCTACCCACCACTCAATAGATTTCTGTCTCTTTATTACTTTACCCTGGGAGATAAATGGGGTTATCTCCATTTTACAGTTGACAAACAGATTCAGAGAGGTGACTGAGCCTCTTCATATGGAAGTGGACCCATGCAGAAGTGTCGAGCTGGAATTCAACCCTCAGGCAGCCTGGCTCCAAAGTTCACAACCTTTCCTACTCATTTCAGCCCTTCCCTGCCTCTCAGGGCTAAGAAGATGTTAGTAGATGTTCCATAAACGTTTATTAAATTGAACTGAACTCAGCAGCTGAACACAGGCAGGCCTCTTCCACCCTGACCAAGAGGAATCCTTTGAGGGTCTGGGATATGGAAAGAAATTCTCTGAGGTGCTAAATAAAATCATGCTCTGAGGTACCAGGAGACCTTTTTTTTTTTTTTTTTTAAATTAATAGCTAATAAAGTTTATGCAGACCCCAAAAGGAAAAACAGAAAGGAATTGGAACCATTTTAAAAACAGTGTCGGTAGATAATAAAACTTCATGGTGGTGGTGTTATCTTTCATCAGGAAGCACAAAGTCTTCACAGGCTTTAATTATATCTTCATCCCTACAGTCCCTTCTGAAGTTGGTAGATGCACGTTAATAGCACCTTTCACTTTAGGTATGGACACGTTCCAGTACCAAAAGCTTCAGGAGTTCCCCCCAAGGCAAGCAGAGTACAGAGCTGGATCAGGAGCAATGACTCTCCAAGCCAGCATTCCATGCTACCTCCAGTTGTATGTCTTGACTCCACAGCTGAAACCAAGGACTTCATTGAGATATTTGGGGGCAGGGAGATCTGAAGGTCCAGGAAAGAAGATAGGCAAAACCAAGGAATAAGGTCTCCATTTTGGCCTGCACACCATATAAATTCCCGCTTTGTTCACCCATCTGCACATTCTTTAATTTAGGCATGTGTTCATTTGCGTACGTCAGTGAGTTTGCTCAGTCACAAGGGTGCCAAAGCCTGAGCTTGGCCACTCACTTTAGGTAAGGCCACACCAGACCATTGGTGCCTCCGATCGTGAAGACTGGAGAAAGGCATCTGGGCTGGGCCCACTGTGACTCTCAGGAGGGAAACTCTCCCAGTGCGCTCTGCGGCCGGGATATGGAGGCTCAGACAGCTAGAGATGGGAAAGGGAACTTAAATTGCAAAGGAGTCATCTTCTGTTTTGCTAGTTCATTTTCAATCGTTTCCCGGCCTAAAAAAGAATTAATAGTAATAATAGCATATGGCTTTTAAATGGCTCTCCATCGCAAAATACTATTTAAGCACTAATTTCTTCACTAGACGCTGGAGCTCAGTCTCCACACTTGGCTCCATCTGGGACTCCAGTCTCATTTCTTATTCTTAATTTCTGTACAGTTATCCCCAGTTTTTGAACTGCAGACCTGCTAGAGAACAGGGAGTTTCAGCAAGGGGTCCATAACTCTGAATGCCACGCCAAACATGGGCAGCAGCTGAAATCAATAGTATATAAAACTCTGGCTAATTTGAAAGGCTGTCAAATTTCTAGCAGCTCCTTGTCATTATGTGCTTTCCTGGGTACAAAGTTTGACAACTGTTAAAAGGAAAGGCCTGCATTGTAATCACGGTTTTCAACCTGGGATCCAAGGACCCCCTCAGAGATTCCCTGAAGTATAGATGGGGGAGCACGAGGATGGAGCAGGAGCAGATGGTGACACCCCATCCCTGCACACACACAGCTAACTTATCCCTGTAACCAGAGAGACTGTTTTGATCAACTCTGTACACTGGGCTTTCTAGTCAGATTTTATTTGAAGAAAGGACCAGGGAGGTGAGTAGGATGGAGTTTGCAAGTAACGGCTGCAGACAAACTACATGTATTTCTAGCCAGTCCCTTGCTACAGTTCCGTGGGGCACGACGAGAAATCTGTCACACACCACAGTTCCCTCATAGTGTACATCGCCCCGGGGTATACACTATGAGGGAACTGTGGTGTGTGAGTGATGCAACAGAGACATTCTCTTGGTCCAGATCCACATGGTAAGAACCCTGGGTTTGTTAGTATCTTAGATGGCATTAAGTCCCATCTCGCTCTTAGAAATAGCAAATGAGCTTGCAGATTAGCCACTCTTATTGTCAATGCAAAGATAGTGTTCACTTTGCGTATGCACTGCTGAGGGAATCTTGAGAGCATTCGCTGCTGTTGAGGGTTGGGTGGGGAATTCTTTATATACCAGCTTTTATTGTGGGCCAAAATTCCTAGAGGAATAGTGGCCCACTTAGGGTCCATTTTTATCTCCTTCAGTTTCTACCCAAATTTGTCTTTGCTTATGTGGCTGGGGCTTCCCATTCTGGCTCTCAGGACACAGTTTGTCCCCAGGCAGGCTGGGCCTAGAACAACTGTAGTAATAAGAGGTGACAAAGCAGAGCTTTGAGACAGAACTTGCAGAGATTCTTTAGCTGAGCCTCCGTTCTCCCAGCCAGGTTTCAGACAGGGTGACACAGAAAGCAAGCTCCAAACAATCCCGAACAGTGCACATCACCGAGTGAAGCTCAGGCAGGAGATGGGAAGGAATGCCTTTTTCTCTGCTTTCCACCCTGCCGCCCATACCTCATTCTCAAAAGCCACCTCCCCAGCACTCAGGCTTGAGGTAAATGCTTATAAAATGGGGTGGAAACCTCTCATGACCCCCTCTCTGTTGCATGAATGCCTGTTAGAAGCAAAGGAAAACAATGGCAAACAGACCCAGGCCTGTCACAGCTGTGCTGGGCTCAGCTGGAATGTGGCTGTGAGTGTGCGTGTGTGCGTGCACGCTGGCGCACACATGGGAATATAAACATCCTTGGCTCCCCAGCTCCTGTGTGCCGGACTGTGCTGAGCAGGCACAAGTTCTGCGCGGATCCAAGGCGGGGAGACGCAGCCCCAGCACACTTAGGTGCTCTTGTTTATATATCGAAATGTGGGTGGGGAGACAAAAAGAAGGTTTGGGAACAGCTGTGTGCCTGTGTATGTATGGGCAAATCTCACTGCTGATGTGTCTTGGGGAAAACTGAGGGAAATTTTGTGCTTGGGTATGTGTGCATGCATGGCAGGTGCCCACACTCCGGTGTGCAGAGGTGGAAGCCGAAAGAAAGTTTCGAGATTCTGTGAACAATCTCAGAAAAAAATCTGGCAACTCCCCATACCACAGGTGGGTACACATTCAGTGCTTGTGAAGTTCATTTCCTGTGCTAGTTACCGGGCCTTGTTTATACAGGACACAAAATGTGATTGGCAGCAAAAGCTCCAGGTCTCCGGGGTGAGTTGAGGGCGAGTGCGTTTGCAGAGGGGCTGGGGAAGGAGTGTGGGCATCACGCCGAGGTGCCCTTGAAGTACAAAGGAAATCGATTTTCAACAGTAATCCATAATTCCGCCCATATATGCTCAGAGGGGAGACAAAGCAGAGCTCTAATTTTAGAATGACGCCGCCCTTCATTGCTGCGGTGCCGTTTCAGCACCCAATCTGCACGGGCCAGTGGCAGCTCGGGTGTCCTTGTGTGTGTTCATGGGTTTGAAACGCATCTAGCTGGCTCTGCTTTGAGCTTTAATTTGTAAGCCCAGCCCCAGGAAGTGTTTATGAGCTTTTTCACTTTGCTTTATTCTGACTCAGCTTTGTTTGGTAGCGCAGAAGGGTAGAGTTTGACATAAATCCTCTGTTCTTTGTGTGAGGGCTTCCGATTGCAGAGGGTCCTAGGAGTGGCATTCCATAGGAAAGTTGAGGAGTTTGACCCAACCTCGTGATCACACACCTGCAAGTGAAAATTCTGCACACCTCAATATGGGAAGAAACTGCACTCTCTAAACAGACTCCTGGGCACGTGACCACCTCAGAGTCTCCTTGCCAGTTTGTTCATCCAAATGGTGAGCAGCTCACAATAGACACTCAGTGACTGCTAATTCACCATGGTACGTTTCATTCCACTGCATTACAAAGTGCCAGCGTCACTCCTCAGCATAGCTTGGGACCTTGTCCAATCAGCTGTCCTGAACACCCACTTTGGTCCACGGTTCACATTTGTGGGATAGTCATGAGCCTCTGCTCTTCTTCCAGTCTTGACTCAAGGAAGCAATAGCAGAAATCTCCTAGCTCTTGGGTTCCATGGAATAGAGAGCCTGAATCCACCTGGAAACCAAATCTAGACACAACAGAGCTTTGAGGTTTATACCCGCAAGCCTGTGCTGCCAGCAGCAGAGGGTACCAGGGGATGCACTGGAGGCTCCCTGGGAGGCAGAAGCCAGAGGTGCCCTGCCATGTTCTCCATCTGGCCAAGGGCTTAACCCTGCTGAAGACTATTTCTGAGCAGAGTCCCCATGATGAGGGGACCCAAAGATGCTGATGGGGTCATTTCCCAGGCTTTGCCTTGGTCCAGTGCAGTGCTTCAGTTGCTGAGGGTGATGGAAGTTTGCTTTATACTTGGTCCCTGCTCAGTCAGAGTCCTCTGCTACCCTCTGGCAATTCACAACCTCTAGTCATTTGGAGACCTCTGAACAAAGCAAAACTCTAAAAACTGGGACCCATGGCTCCTCGATGAATTCTGAAACTGTTTTGAGGTGCTGCCTAAAATTCGAGGAGAAACTTACCAAGGAAAGGGGATTTCAGGGCAGCAGTGGAAATAGAGACAGTGAGGTACAGGCCACTCACTATCCTTTATAGGCACTTTCAGCTCCTGTTAGCTAGAGACCTTTTCAGAGTCAACATTCTATGTAAGCCAGCACGGCATGCTACTGGTCTGCGATTCTGTTCAAGGCCCAGACATAACCAGCCTTCTGGGGGGGATCCAGACCACTGAGATTGCAGCCTGGGGTGACATCCTATCTTGGCTGGAAAGGTCTCCACCCCAGGCCTGGTCCTCTGGGAAATGGTTCCCGTAGGGAGAGCTCCTACTGCTTCAAGACAGCAGCTTCCTTGGTGCATCAGTTTACCTGCCAGTCTTGTCCCTCGGAGGGTACCAGTTTCTCTGGCTTCCCTGCCTGTCCCCAGAATGACCCCAACGTTTCTTTAGCCCCTGAAAGCCTTGGAAATGAGGGTGCCTGCTTACGTTTCTAGTGAATAGCATTTGCATTGGAGGCTCTTCACCCAGGGTTCCCTACAAAGGTTGGCTTTTAGGGAAGGGCAAGGTGACCCTGCTTTGTCTTCCTAAAGCACCACATGTGCCTCTGTATGACTGTGCCTGTCATGCGGTCACCATCCTCCCCTTCCTTGTCTCTGCCCCACTAGCCTAGAAGCGCCTGAAAGGCAAGAGCTGTCTTAGAGGTACACTGGGAGAAGAGGGGGCCCCGGGTCCTGATTGAGTGGGGGCCTGCCTAGGGCCAGAAGGCCTGGGCTCACCAGCCACTGGGCCTGGATAAAGGGATTTTCAAGGGGTGAGTGTAGTCTGGCCTCTCTGATTCTCATCCCTACTCCCTGATAGTACTATGTTTTTCACCTTGAAAATGAAGACACACTGCCCTGAGCCCCTCACTGGGTTGTCAAGTGGCCGTGTGGCACACGTAAGGGAGCCTTGCTGTGTTAAAGCTCCCCAGCTCCCTTCGTTACATCCCATGGACAGAGGACCATGCCATGACTCAGAGGCTCAGGTCTTCCTAACTGTGCTGTTCCGTGAGAGAACTTCAGTGAGTTGCTTTATCTCAGTGACTCTGTTTATTCATCCTGTGAAATGGGAGTGTAGGGCTGTCAGGGCCAGTACTTGGAAGCTTAGCTGAGTGGCATGGTGTGGGCATTCCGTTTTATTGTCATTGCTCAAATAAGCATGAAGATACTTCCCTGAAGAGTGATGTTTGGAAGGAAGAAACCTAGACTTTGCTATGGGGTGGGCATGGAGTAAATCCGAAATCCATCCCGTGTTAACAGGCTTGTAAGTCGAATTCCTGCCTAGTAAGATTTCAGATAGTTCTCTAGCCCAGGAGTCAGCAAACATTTACTGAAAAGGGGCAGATAGTGACTATTTTTGGCTTTACAGGCCACAGGGTCTCTACAACTGCAAGACAGCCACAGACAATACGTAAACAAATGAACATGGCCTTGTTCCAGGAAGACTTTATTTACATCAGGCTGCAGGCCGGATTTGACCAGTTCAGCCATGGTTTGCTTCCCCCTGCTTTAGCTTGTGGGGGGTGCCCAACAAGCACTTGGGAAATTAATTTGTTGAAGATAGGTGAGTAGAGGCCTCTGCCAGTCCAGATCCTCGATTTTAACTCTGTTTATGCAGGACCAGATTCTGTGTTCTTGCCACTGAGTCACAGCTGCAAAAACCTCCCCTCCCCTCAGCCCCCCTCCCCCAGCTTTGAGTGATCCCCGGCTCCTTCAAGCCCGCTGCTGAGTGGGGAGCAATTTCTGTGCCTTCCAGGATCTTCCGCCTCCCCCACCCTGCACACCCCACCCAGGTCCTTCCCCTCCATCCTGAGTTTGCGGGACACACAATTTGTAATCTCCTTAAAACTAAAGCAGCGAAGTCTCTGATTCATGTAGATTAAAATCAGCTGCAACCTATTAATGGCCCAGGGCCCAAGACAGATTTTAGGAAACAAAAACACTGGACCAAATTAGACTGAGCCGGCCTCTGTCTCCAGGGGAGGGAGGTAGAGTAGGAGGCTGGGGGCGGGGGAGTGGCCATGTGGTTTTCATTACTTTGGATTCTCTTCCTGAAGCAAAGTCACCCAACACAAAGCGTGTGCAGCGCCAAGGCAGCGGCCAGCCTCTGGAGCCCGGCTCTCCCTGGTAGAAGCCCTGGGTCCTGTTGGGGGGCTAGGGCTGGTTGTGTGTCTGTAATTAACAGGTTTCAAAGTGGTTATTCAGGAAAAGAGAATTTCAGTGGCGCGTTAAAATCCTTTCATCAGCCATCAGCTGGCGTCCGGAGGCCTTCAGCAAGGCCTGAGCCACTTAAAGCTTCTGAGAGCTTTAAATTCCCAGGGTCTTGTTTGAGAATGTGGAGGCTTTTGCCATGGTTTTATTGGGCTGATGGTTGCCATGATTTTCATTATGTTGTTTGGTTCCTGGGATCATAAAAATGTTTGTCTCTTCCTAGAGTACCTCGGATCATTAAAAACAAAAGGAAAAAAATGCCCCTGCATTTGTAGCCGCTACGTCACATACAAACCATGGCTTTCTTGTTGGAGAGGGGCCAGCTCCGGCTCTGGGCTGGGGAAAATCATAAAGCTGGAACGGGCAGGACAAGCAGCCACACCCAGTCCCCACGTGTCGCCCATCCGAGGACACTGAGGCCCAGAGAGATGCTCATCTAAAGCCGGTCTGGAATCCTGGTCCCACTCTCGGTCAGATGCTCTTTCTCTTCCTGGTGAGTCGAGGCTGTGAGTAGAGTTGGGAAAGGGAAAGGAGTCTGAATTCTGCTGGACTAGTGCTTTGGGACACCTCTAGGAGTGGAAGAAATGCTCAGATATTCAGACAGCATAAAGTGAAATGTGAAGTAGATAGGAATGATATGGGCCCGCATGGGCATTCCCACGGCCTACAGGACGGAACGCTGCTCTGAGACTGGAAGGGCTGCCCTGAGACCCCAGGAGGAAGAGATGGGTTATTGGAGCCTTCACTTGGCACCCACAGCCCTGAGCCCTGGAAAGAAGGGAAACAGGTATCAAATCCCACAAGCCACAGAGATGATTTCTCACCACTTTGAATAGGAAACCTCTGAAATCTGGTCAAGCTCCCAGAATCACCATAGGGGGTGACAGGAATTTTGGTTAAGCCCGTATTATCTGATAAATGGCACGCCAACCTGGCGTTACTTCCTATTTTGATGATGGCTGCCTTCCAGAACCTTCTTTCATGGAAGACATGAAAAATATTCTGAGAGAATTGCTATTAAATAACCTCTGGTTCTTAAAAACAAGGCCAGACCAGCGGGCCTTGCTCTCAGCAGGACACGTGTAAGAACTAGTCTACAATAAAGAAGCTCTGAAGGCGTGTTCAGAGAATGAGAGAGTGTCAGAGCTGGGAGGGAAATTGGAGTTCAGCGAGGCCAGGCTTTCATTTCATAAATAGGGAAACTGAGGCCTCAGGGCATATCCAAAGTGATCTAGCAGGCATAGGGAGCCCAGGATTTGCTTGACTATCCCATTCTTCATGAGACCACTGTTCCCCTTTTGGGTTGATACCATCATTCATTCATTCAGTTTTTACTGCCTCCTATGTGTCAGATGCTTCTAGGCACTGCTAATTTAGTTTCTTTGAAGTTTTTAGTGGTGGAATAAAAGAGACACATTTCTGTCATTAAAGAAGGAAAGGACTTCCCTCCAAAATCTAGGTTTGGGGAAAGTCTGGTGACTTTTGTGGGCCTGGGGCATCTTTGGGAAACGCCTGCCCTCTTGGGTGTGCCTTTAAGATGAGTGCAAAATATCATTGTCAGGTAGAGAGGTGACTTGCAGTGACCCCTGCGCCCAATTGCCACCTGGCCGTGTGGCCCAGAGGAATCTGGAAGTGAACATCAGCAGAGATTCTCTGGATCGAAATTTGAGTGAGAGCTGGCGGGAACCCAGGCTAGCTGAAGGCTGCAGATTGCATGGGTCTCTCCGTCTGTTTCTCATCATTCTCCTCCTACAGTTTGCTTGTCAGTCCTTTGCTCTTGTTTACCTCTGTGTGGATAATTCCTCGATTATAAATCAGAGAACTTGGCACTGAGTTCTGGATTATCTGTGATCTTTAACTTTCCCAGGGCAAAAGAAATTACACTGGCAAATCTCTTTGTTTCTCATGGTTTGGCGTCCAAATCATGGAAGTGCGGGTCTGTGTAGAGGGAGACAGCCTGAGCCTGCCTCTGCCCCTGGCCCCCACACTCTGTGTAGGCAGTCATGCATGCATGCATTCACTTATTCACTCAACAAATATTCAGTGAGCACACATGTGGCAGACTCTATTCTAGAAACTGGAGATACAGGGTGAAAAAAGAACACTGTTCCTTCTTACCCTGTTTGCATCTTAGTATGGGTGATAGGAAGCAAACAAATCAACAAACATACATACTAGTGATAAGTGCCTTGAAAAAAGTAAGCAGGGTAAGAGATGGCAGCGAGGGGTGCACTATTTTACGCAAGAAGACCTCTCTGAAGAGGTGACATTTGAGCAGAGATTGGATGAAGGGAGAGTAAGCAGTGTTCAACCCAGAAGATTTCAAGCAGAAGGAGTAGCAAGTGCAAAGCCCTGCGACAGGGACAAGTGTGATGTGTTTGGGAACGGTAAGGAAGCCAGGGACTGGAGTAGAGTGAACAAAGGGGACAACTGTGGTACATGAGGTCAGAGCAGGGGGCAGGGGCCAGCCATGGAAGTGGTGACTTTGGATTTTGTTCTGAGCTTCACAGGATGTCCTTGGAGGCTTTGGAGGAGAGTGATGCAGCAAAGACGAACATTCGGAGGCTGTAGAGAGGCTCACGGAAAAACAGGGGGCCAGCTTGGGCTAAGCACTGGCATTTAGACACGTGGCAATGGTAGCCATGCCTCATGGGTGGTGCCTCCAGTAGGAACGTTTGAGAGCTACATGTTTTGACAGGGTGAGGCTGGGCCTGGGAGCGCACCACCTCTCTACCAATTAGTGTTAAGCCCAGAAAAAGGAAATACTACTGTTTAAATTGCAGGGTTGGAATCTGTGAGTCACAGAACCCTCAGCCAAAC